AAAGAAAGCACTTGATGTATACATATTTTTTTTGAAGAATAAATTTAACATTCATTCAAAAATATATATCTATATATTATTGTTAATATCAAATATATTGCTAGATAGTCATCAAATTTGTTTACTTTATCATCAATAGCACAATTTTAACCTCTCTTTCTATATATATCATATATTATTAAAAACTTCTTGATATACAATATTTTGTAGAACACTATTGTCATTATATTTTATGCATATTTTAAGAATTTGAAGTCTTTCAATTTTAGTGATTCTTGGTAGGCAACGTACAATTGTCCGTGAGAGAAAAACAGGACTTATAAAACATAAACCAAATTTGTTTAAATTTTAACTTTGACTCTTGATAATAGTTATTGCGTAGAAAAATCGTATAGGGAACGTCTTTTTAGTTTGAAAGGTCATCTTACTATATTAGTATGAGACTTATTCTAGGAATAAAAACTCATTTTTCCCCCTAAGTTTCAGTTCGAATTTCTGCTTTAATAATCATGTTTCCTAGGAAAGCTATTAGTAATCTTGTTCCATTGCAAAATCCTTCTCGTTGATTTAAGTTCATTATAACATGAATGGAACACCTATTTTGAGATATAGTTTGTGATTTGATATCCCTAAATTTTTCAACATATTTTAAAAAATCTATGGGATATAGAATATGCTGATTTGACACTTCTTCTTTACAAGATGTGAAGGAATATATAGAAAAACTCACCTAATATTTTTTGTAACTTTTACTATAATTGGTGACGAAATATGAGAAGTGACAAAATAGGAGAAAGTTTAATCCTATACTAGATTTTGACCCGCGCAACCGCGCGGGTGTTTGTTTTCGTTTATAGTTATATAAAGATTTTGTTTTCACTTGTAAATTGGTATATATTATAGTAATCACATATTTACGATATGTATAGTAAATATTTTTCAAACATAATAATATTATATAATAAGTGTTTTAATCAAATAGATTGTTTCAAATTTTCTATATTATACATGACTTTCAAACATGTGTTTGTTTCTTCTTCTATATTTTATTGTTTGTTAGATTAGTATTTCATTTTTAGATAAAGTAATATAAATAGAGCTTGATTAAATATTAGTGTAATTTAATTTGCAAAGNATGTGTTTGTTTCTTCTTCTATATTTTATTGTTTGTTAGATTAGTATTTCATTTTTAGATAAAGTAATATAAATAGAGCTTGATTAAATATTAGTGTAATTTAATTTGCAAAGATAATATAAACTTCGAAGAATTTTTTGCTAAAAACTAAACTTATAGCTTCATAAATTAATATTATAAAAAGTTTATTAAAAAGGAATTTTTTAAACAATTTTTTTTTTTTTAACAATACAATTTTAAAATTTTACATCGAAATAAATTTATCTAATATATATAACGTGTAAATTTTGTTAAGGTATATAAATATTACATATTAATAATCTATGATTTTTGTTAATATATTCTGGATGCATTTAACTATTATTGACACATTTCCTTATAAATAATAGAAGATTCCTAAATTTATATCTATTGACATATTTTGCGTGACTAAGTTGGAAGGTGTGGGGTAATTTACCAAAACAAAATTGTTAAGCATATTATAAGATGTAATAATGATAATATTATTAGAGAGTTAATGTAACATAACTTTCTAGTAACAGTCCATTTTTTAAAAAATCACACATGAAATCAAGTCATGACTTCTGTTTTAATATATAAGATATATAGTTGTGAATAGTTATTGTTCCTTTTGATTTATGATTTTAAAATAGAAATTAACTATTTTAATTAGAAATTTGATTATTCAAGAAAATATTTGAAATAATTATTTGAAAAAACTACTATTAAACATTCTTTTCAATTTTCTTAATGTTTAAGATTTTAGAAAAAAAATAAGTATTATATATTGTTTTTTACAAATCGGTGTTCTGTTTTTTTTTTAGTATTTGTAAAAAGAAAAACTAAAATTAAACACTCTTTACTTTTATTTTATTCTTAAATAATTTTTAAACTTACTTTTCAAAATTTTTTTTTAATTATTTTGTATATATTTTTAATCATGAAATATTTTAATACATGTAATGATATTAAAAGGAAAATTACTATTAAATAAGTTTTTGCAATATATTTTGTTTGTACAAGATTTGTAAAAAAGAAAAGTACAATTAAACACGCTTTACTTTTTTTACGGTTAAATAATTTCTAAAATTACTTTTTCGAATTGGTTTTATTATCTTAATTTTTTTTCGTTAGGATTTGTAAAATTGAAAGCTACAATTGAACACTCTTTATATTTTTTTGCTGTTAAAAAAAATTTGAAAATTAAATTTTTCAAAATTCATTTTTAACCATGAGATATATTAACACATGTAACAATAATAAAAAAGAAAATTACTACAAATATTTTGTGAAATTATATTTTGCTTAGGATTACAAAAATGGATTTCAAAACTCTTTTTTAATATTATCTAGCTATATATTTTTTAATTATGAGATGGTTTACCACATCTCAAAATCTTAATTATATAATTCTCATGTGTCACAATCGTGTTAATGAGCAACTTTGAAGAACTATGCTTTATATAATAAGATTTTGAGTTATATGCATGAAAAAAAATAAAAGAGTGCATTAGATATTATTATATTCTCATCTTAATTAAATATTTTATTTTAAGTATAATAATTATTTATATCTTCTACTTCATTTATTCTTTCAAACTGAACACAAATTGTTTTAGGGGGAATTGCCAAAACAAACCCAAATATTCATTTTAACCCTAAAGGTATACCCCATATTCAATCAATTGCAAACCCAACCTAAATGGGTGTTAAAACTACTATTTAACCCTTATGAACAAACAAAAAACGTGTAAATATATTTTACGATTTTTTCCTTCGTAGGTCTACACTTTAAGAAAGAAGTCTACAACTAGGTAATCTTACATTAACGTCTACTGTGTAAACTAATGTAGATTTATTATTTAGTCTACATCTTAATTTAATCAATTAATTTAATTTTAAAAATGTAGAAAAAATGTTTTTGGTAAATTTTTTAATAAATCATCAATTTAAAGGTTAGTATGAGGTAGATAAATTAAATTTTCTTATAATTGAATAGTTTAAAAGAATGTATATTGATTTGGGAACTATGTGGTAGACAATGTTAATGGTTTAGCAACCAAAGGTTCTAACATGTTATGTCTTTTAGAGTTAGATTCTTAGGGTTAGATTCTAGATTTAGAATTATTTTGTTTTAATGATTCAAAATTGCATATTTAATGTTGAGTAGTTTATATTTTGTATATATGATATTTGGTACAATAACTAAGATTTGTTTTATAATGATTCAAACGTTTAGGGTTTGAGATTTGGGGTTTCGAGTTTGATATTTCTGGTTTAGGGTATAGTAGACTTACAGTTAAGTCTACTTATATGTAGACGTCTATTTCAGTCTACGTTTATTTGTGTTTACCAAAATAAATTATTTTAAAATTAAAACTAACTAAGCGGGAAGTGAAAATGAATTTTGGAGACTATTTTTCCATATTGGCGCCAATATCTAGGGTATAGTAGATTTACAGTAAAGTCTACTTATATGTAGACGTCTATTTCAGTCTACGTTAATTTGTGTTTACCAAAATAATTTTTTTTTTAAAATTAAAATTAACTAAGCGGGAGTGAAAATGAATTTTGGAGCCTATTTTTCCATATTGGCACCAATATTTAGGGTATAGTAGACTTACAATAAAGTCTACTTATATGTAGACGTCTATTTCAATCTACATTAACCAATTTAATCTAACCGAAAAAATTACACAGCATATAAATATTTTTTTAGGGTTTTCTGGTAAAAAAGAATCCTAATCATGCCGTTTAGATCTGAGACAGTTTAGGGGGCGATTTCCAGTGAGATTTCCGACGAACCCTCTTCGACTCTGTTTTCACACCCAGCCACCTTCCTCTCCGAATCACCATTCACCACCATGACCATCACCACTATCCTCTCACATCCTTCAGCCATCTCCACCTTGTCTCCTCCTCATCTCCTCCTCGTCACCACCATTACTCTCTGCCTCGTCTCCTCCTCATCTCCACCATTACTTTCCGCCTTGTCTCCTCCTCATCTCCTCCTCGTCATCACCATTACTGTCCTCTCTGTATTTCTCTCTCTATATATGTGTTTACAAAGAGTCTCTGCATCTCTTATTGTTTTGATTAAAGTGTTCAATTTTTGTTCTAGGGTTTGTATATGTTCAATTTATTTGCTGTAAATTGAAATGCATATGTCGTTGACGAAAATTGATGAAGTGTTATGAGTTAATACATGTTTGTAGTGTACAAGCATGTGTTGTGTTTTATTGATTTCTCTGGCTCTTTTTGTTGCAGGTTGCTCCCAGAATTTTACTGCAGACTACGGATTTGTAGACTTTTACTGCNCATGTTTGTAGTGTACAAGCATGTGTTGTGTTTTATTGATTTCTCTGGCTCTTTTTGTTGCAGGTTGCTCCCAGAATTTTACTGCAGACTACGGATTTGTAGACTTTTACTGCAGACTACGGATTTGTAGACTGTCTTATAGGTCTACATTAATTTAGACTGAATATACAGTCTACATAGAAAAATCTATTAAAAATTATATTTGTGTATTGTTTATTTTAGGTTTCAGATTCTATTTAGAGAAACATTGATTGTTCATTTATATTTTCGGATGCATTGTCTTAGATTCTATATAGAGAAACACTGATTTTTTATTATATAGTTGGATGCATTGGTTAGCTTAAGCTTGTTTTTCTCCTTATTCTGGTCGTAGGTTCTATCTTGTTTCGTACTTCTGGTTCACAAGGCTTAGTTTTTAGATGTTTTGATATCTTCCCTCGTAGACACCTTATAGACTTGTGCTACTCTGTTCAGTATCACTTATTTTCTCTGAAATGCTTTCTTGACTTATGTTAAAGTTTCTTGATTGAATTCTTTGACTTGTTTCATGCTTCCTTCCCCTTTCTTCTTTGAGCTTCCTTTTGATTCTAACTTCCATCTTCTTTTGATATATCATCATTTGATAAAATTGGAGAAGGTGAAGACTAAGCTTGAATCTAAAAATGGATGTGAGCCAACAATAGCTGAATGGGCTGAAGCTTTGGGGCTAAGTGGACCTGTCTTGAAATCTGAAAGCCACCGTGGCAGAAGCAGCAGGGAGAAGCTGATCACTGCAAACTTGCGTCTGGTAGTTCATATAGCTAAACAGTATCAGAATCGTGGACTCAACTTTCAGGACTTATTACAGGTTAGCTCTCAAAAAAACACATTGCTACCGTCCAAGCAAAGAAGAACTCGCAAGCCACGTTGGTGTCTCAACAGAGAAGCTTGATAAACTTCTGTACAATACAAGAACACCTCTATCAATGCAACAACCCATTTCGTCTGATCAAGACATCACCTTTTAGGTAACACTTTTAACTTTGCAAATGTGACTTCTTACCAAGAGCATTACATGGTAATAATCCATTTACAGGAAGTGACACCATACAGTGGGATTGAGACACCGGACATGAGCGTAGGGAAGCAAATGATGAGGAACCATGTAAGGAATCTACTCAATGTGCTGAGTCCCAAGGAGAGGAAGATCATCAAGCTGAGGTTTGGGATTGATGGTGGGAAGCAGAGATCGTTGTCTGAGATATGAGAGATTTATGGACTGTCTAAGGAGAGGGTAAGGCAGCTAGAGAGCCGAGCATTGTATAGGCTTAAGCAGAACATGAACAGACATGGACTCAATGCTTATGCTGATTTGCTTGTCTAGCTCATGTGGAGATACTGGCTTTCAACTATGTGTATACAAAAAAAATATACTTTTGTTATGTAATGGTTTTGTTGATATTTTTTTTCCTAAGATTTGTAGACTGCATATGAAGTCTACATGTAAAGTAAGTTTTAGTCAGTTTCTAAATATTTTAGTCAAATACAAAAGAAACCTATTCAACGAAGTCAAAGTTTTGGTCAAATGCAAAACTGACCTTCTGTAGACTTCCCTAGCAGTCTACAAAGGGTAGACTTCCAGGAAAGTCTACTATGGTAAGACAAAATTTTAGTCAAATGCAAATCTAACCTCTTTTATGTAGATTTCTTAGTAAGTCTACCAAATTTTTTGTTTTTGGTTTCAAAGGTAAAGACGTTGACGTACTTGTAGGTCTACAGTACAAAAAAAATTATTTTGGTCAATTGCAAAAGTAACTTGTGCGTTGACAAGTAGACTGAATCGTAAGTCTACACGTAAGTGTAGACATATAATACAATCTACTTTCGCGATACAGATCAGAGATATGACGAAAAACATGTAAATAGTTACCTTGACACCGGTTTAAAGCTTGTTTCCAAGCTTTTCCACCGTCCAGAATCCAAATATGAGCAAAAGAAGCACCTTTTACGATTCACTTGTGAATATAATCGAAACTATGAAGTTTTTGTTTATAAAAATGAGAGCTATGAGGATTGTTTAGATGAAAATAGAGAGGAAGTGAGAGGAAATGAAGTATTGTTGGTTTAGAAAGTGAAATAAGTGGTTGACAATTCATATCTTGAGCTTTAAGAGCTCATCAATGGTGGTTCATGGTGGTTGGAGATATTGATGATAATGACATTGTTGTAAATAAGGAAAAATGTTTAGGGTGTAATAGGTTTTTTGGCATTTTTGAAATTAATAAAATATTATATAAAAATGGCAATTTTGTAAATAGTTGAAAAACATGAGGAGGGTTTGGTCTTTTTAATGGTGAATAGTAATGACAAAAGAAAAGTGATTGGTTTTGTGTTTGACTTGAATTTTTAGGTTGATTTTGCAAAACCCCCCATTGTTTTAAGGGAATTATGCCAAAACGGAATAGAAATTCAGCTTTCTTGTTTCTTTGGTATAAATCCAACTAGACTTTGTCCTTATACCATAATTTTTTTTCATAATCCAAAAACTAACCCTAGATTAATCTAATTAAACACAATTTACAATGTTAATTAAATATAGGGAATTTTTTTTAAAAAGAAAAACACAAAAAAGGCAAAATAGGAACAAAATCAAGATTTCCTGTAATCCTAATATTATTTTGTGTTCTCCGCCTCTCTCTTGTATAAATATGCATCATCGAAGAAGAGTTTGTGAAAATCACAAGAAAAAGTATGGAGAAATCTAGATTTGATGAAGAAATGGTTAATGGGATTGATTTTTTTTTTTTTTTTTTTTGACACGGATATTGGCCTCTACATGTTTATGGAAGGTTAGAGGACTACAAATATTTTTTTCAAATATATTCATAATTAAATTTCTTTTTTTTGGGAAATTTCTTATCCAATGTACCTTCTACACTGCGAAGAAACCAGACAATAATTTTATAAGCAGATTCTACTAAATGTACTCATTTGAATAGTACGTAGATTTCGTAGACCTAAAATTTCAGAATTGATCAAAATAGTAGAATCTGCAATAAGAGAATAAGTAGTAAATTTTACAATTCGTAGACTTTGAATTCTTCTTATTTAGAATTTAATTTAAAATTAGAAATTGGTTCTAAACAAAGTAGATTAAGTTTTTTAGCGTGGAATTTAATTTCTATGATGTCATTTTTCGTATAACATAATTTTAATAATTAATTTTACAAGTGTTTTCAACCCAAAAATATTAGTTTGTCTATATAAGTATTTCATCATTTGTTTCATTTTTTACAATTTTTTATTCATAAAACTATTTATTTCATTAAGTTTGTAAAATGAAAAAGGTGAAAGAGAGAGGAAATGAACAAAAATATTTACACCAAAAGGACAAAAAGGCTAAATTTATGTTCCATTTTGACATAATGGACAAAAAGGCTAAATTTTTTTTTTTTGAAACACTATTTAGGGTATGTCAATTAGTCAATTACCTAAACGGATACATGTGGTTGGTAATTCACAGAAGAAGGCATGTAAACCGTTAAATTGGGGTACATAACAGAAAAGCAATATCTAGACTTAGGATTACATCAAGATTTTTGTGGAAGCCTCTAATGGCATTTACATGTAAGCTTTATTTTTCTCAAAATTGAAGCATTTGTTGGTAAGTAATATTGGGTACTTTATCAGTCACAAAGAATTTACGGTCCTCTGGTATTAACTATGTTACACAATGACGTTATTTTTGAATGTCCACTAACACATTCAAACTTGGGTCTTTTCAAAAATACATTCGCATCCACAGTTTTTCCCAGTTCTTTAGCCTACATTAATATAAATTATTTTTTTTGGTGATTTCTGAAAGGACATGATTCAATTTATTTTCCATGGAACTTGTGGTATATTGGAAGAAGCGAAAAGACAAGGTTTATAGAAATAAAAAGCGAATCTACAAGAGATTTAACGCATTGTGGAGATACTAGTTGGTGCTATATTATAGAGTCTGGAAAGAATATGATAGTTTTACAGGACAAGGATGGTTTTGCAGAAAATATGGGTCTACCGAAATATGACGGGTGCCATCCACAGCAGTATGTCACCTCTATATGTAGAATATGAAGCTTTGATTTGGTCGATGAGAGTGCATGAAGACAATAGTATCACATATGTGGTGTTTGCAGTAGATTTTTTTCAATTAGTGAGATGATGTCTCACAGACAGAATCACTACTCACATGGAAGAATTTTTACTATGGAAGGACTTCATCCCAGAATTTTCTATCAAACATATCCTAAAGGAAAAAATCAATGGTTGACTAGCTTGCACACAATGCTCAGAATCTACTTTCTGCTATGGTTTATGTTTATTCAGCTTCACCGAATTGCCTTTTGGGTTTGGAGTATCTTAGGAATAATATAAGCTTTGATTTGGTCGATGAGAGTGCATGAAGACAATAGTATCACATATGTGGTGTTTGCAGTAGATTTTTTTCAATTAGTGAGATGATGTCTCACAGACAGAAATACTACTCACATGGAAGAATTTTTACTATGGAAGGACTTCATCCCAGAATTTTCTATCAAACATATCCTAAGGGAAAAATACAATGGTTGACTAGCTTGCACACAGTACTCAGAATCTACTTTCTGCTATGGTTTATGTTGATTCAGCTCCACCGAATTGCCTTTTGGGTTTGGAGTATCTTAGGAATAATATAACAATTTGTTGAAAAAACAAATAAAGTCAAAATTAAACTAATATACATCTAATATAATAAAGTAAAGTTATTTTCTCTCTATAGGGGTAAATAATGACACCGGTTATATTATTTTAATGGACTGTGTGTTTGTAACTATTTGATGATATGAACTTTTTACATTTTTAGGCCCAGAAGTTTATGGTTTGCTTCGTTCTACTGTTGGAGCTCCAGCATCGATTCACCAAGCCTCTTTAAATCTCACAACATCCAATCTATGCCCCTGTAATGGCTTTGGTTTTCGCATATCTGATACACTAATCCTAGAATTTACATTGTTTGTACCATTCCTCCAGGTCATAGCTTGATCTCCGCTTGTATAGTGTTTGTGGCCTACGATGAACAACGTCAACGCTCCGAAATCAGAAAGGACAATTTCTGTGAAGCATCAACTCCCACCATGGCAATTTCGCTACTGCTTTTTCTGTTTTTAATTGTGAGTAATCTTCTAAATGAAAATTGCAATTGATTTATACTCCCTTCTTATGTGGTTTAAGTGTTTATTTGGATGTGCTAATGCATGATCAAATCTTTATTTCTGGATAACGATCATTTCGATAACTGTAAAAACTATTTGTGTTTTATATTTCTCCTTTTTGTTGGATATTGAGTCTCATATCACTTGTCTATTGAGCTTTGGTTGGCATATTTTTTCTTTTCAATATATTTTTCTTTTCGTCGGTGCAAAGTTGCAACATGTAGTCGCAACTTTAGTATTGGAGAATGCTGGTATAGTGGAATTTGTCTCTGGTGTTAAACTAAGACCTCGTGATGAACTTTTCTGGTTCAATAAACCAGAATCACTCTTCCCTTTTCCACTTCATTCAGTTTCAAGTGTGCACAATCTTCCGAACCTCTATTTGTCACTAATGATGTTTGGTTTAGCAGATATCGAAGACACTTGGTGGGCAGGTTCACAGAGTCTATGTTGGTGGGATTTCCCCTGGGCAAGTAAACTGGCTAGTATCCACATTTTTTCCTAGTCATAATATGTTACAGCATTTAGTACTAACATTGATTTACTTTCCTGTGCTGCAGTCAATAGCTACATTATTTAGTCACGTTATGGCTGCTGTTGGTTGACACACTGCTGGTCAAGGTGATGCTGTTGTTAATGTTTATGTAAACCATGAGAAGTTTGCTTTTGTGGATACGCAGTGATTAGTTTAATACTCGCAACTTTCCAAATTCCCCCTTCTGACACAATAAATAACACAAGTCTCTCTTTCAACCACTACAACCCAAAGGCCGTTGATATTATTCATCACCCCCACTGCACAGAGATTGACAGAACCTATCACCTTCATGTCTCCCAATCCGAGTATAACCTCATTGAATAATTATTCTGAAGGGCCCTGACTTGGTCTTGCGATGCTGTTGATATATGAACATGTTTAAAAACGGCCTAATATAATCTTTTCTGAATTGTTGTACGATTCCAAATTGTTCGTATGTTCCAGAATTAATTCTTAGGAGTTTCTGGTTGTGTTTTTCTATTATGGAATCCCTAT